CTCTGTTTCAGCTCTGTTTCAAAAGTGCTGATTCTCTGTCTGTTACTTTAGATGAAAATAAGGAGCCACTCCCCACGCCCCTCTGAGAGATATTTGGTTAAAAATAACTCAATAGCCGCTTTCACACCAAGTACTTTGCCGTACTTAGTTCCCAGCACTTAGTACCCCCATGGAACTAAGAGCAGATCGCTATCACACCGGAATAAGTTCGCAAAATGAAGCCGCTGACGTCACTTCTTCTTCTTCTGCTTTGGGTTTACTGGCAGGCCGCAAACAACTTCACGGCGTATACTGCCACCCGAACTCCCGAGTAAATCGCCAGAACGCCGACACCTCCTCATCACTCCACCGCTCCCATGTTTTCTTTTGTGTTGCCATAAGTTATTCTCTCTCCGTTGGTGCGCGGGGCTAATGCTAATAATGCTAATGCCAGCAAATACAATGGCGGCTTCACGAAACTTTTCAGAGTTTTACGGGGGGTGGTTTGCAATTCGCCCAGCCAATCAGAAATTGGAACTTTTTTCTCCCCAGGATAGTACCACCTCTCTAGCAGGCACTAAAAAGGGGGGGAAAGTTCTCATGAACTAAGTTCTCTTTTTGGTGTGAACGCAAAATCCCAGGAACTATCGGAACTAAACGGGAAAAGTACTCCGGTGTGAAAGCGCCTAGTGGTGCTCTAGGAGGAGATTCAGTTGATAAGGTGGGGGGGGGGGGGGGGGGGGGGGGGGCGGTTACCTTGGTTGGTGATTGGCTAATGGTTACACAAGCCAACACATCGTTATGACATCATAAAGTAGCTAAAGTCTGATCAGCTCATTTTCAGACAGGTTTTTATATAAATGGATCAGGACAAAAAGAGAGAGAATCATTTTTCCTGAATCTCTTTACACAGAGGGGACACACGTTTATGTATAAAAGACATGAAAAAGTTGATTGAGCATAATAGGTGACCTTTAAGCCATTGGGAAGTGGCTTAAACTGGTATTCTTTCAAATGGCCAGCAGGCGGTGACACTGGTTGCACTGATAACTCTGATTGTGTTGAAGACTATGAGAACATTATACATTTTCCAACTTAATTCTTTACCTCAGAAAACATTCCCTTGATGAGTTTGTGGTCTTAATCCTTAGTTTCAAGTCTTTTTCAACACAGCTTGATGTTCACTTTGAAAATCATCGAGTACAAATAGACGATAAACAACAGTGAGTGGCTTTGTGAGTTTCTAGGCGTATTGTTCTGTGTGGATGCTTTCCTTATTTTTCATATTTAAAACTCTTACAAAGTGTTTTCAGCTCATGAAACTTATTTGGTAGTAATAAGTTGGTCTCCTAAAGATTTTTTGTTAATCATTTGGTGTAATCCTCTCATGTGCCTTCTGGTTCCAAAAAACGAAGATGGCGTTGGCTGAAATGCCAAAGTACAGGCTTCAAAGCGTTACTCCACAAACCAATGGGTGACATCATTGTGGCTTCATCTTTTATACAGTTTATAAAACAGGCGGCGTATTAATTTCCTTACAGTATCTGCTCTGTTGCTCCGTTCTACCCATTTCCCAGATGACTAATAGCCTGCCGTTATTAACTAAATGAAATATAAACTCAACAGAGCTTTCTAATTGTCTTCTGTCTGCACTTTAATCCCGTCTCACATGTCTGAGACAGTGTGTACAACATGTGCAACAAACACTGACAGAGTTGTGTGCAGCACATTCACTTTCCCATGGACAGAGTGGTTAGAGGCACAAGGCTCCTCCCTGAGAGTTTGTGAAAACATTCCAGCAAAGTGAGAGCGGTCAAAGAATTGGAAACTCTCAGAGCGGCCTCTCACTTTCTCTGTATCCTCCTCACCTCTTTGCACATGTACAGTAGTTGCTCTGTATACAAAGAGGTTGCAGGTTGTGTAAATCTCTGAATCTGGGAGGAGGACAACTTGAAGAAGCATCTAAAATATTGAAGGACAAAGAAAGTAATCTGTCCCCATTGATCGGTTCACAATGAAGCCGGTGTTTCTCCTCCTTGTTTCCACTTTCTGGACTTTAACCGGAGCTCAGTATTACTACCAGGGCCTGATGGATTACCTGGATAACAGGTTGTTGGCTATTGAGGTAAGAAGCAATTCCAATGTAAATGATAATTGATCAATGTTCTGTTGTTTTCCATCAGTTGACCGCATGAATCGTCTTGACTGCCAAGTAGGTTTTCACATACATAGATTTCCCCCTTGGTATTCCCCCAACGTCAGAAAGAAGATAAGGGAAATGCTATACTGTATGTACAAAATAAAATATAAAAAAACGAAATTAAAAAAATCAAAAACAAGTATATATGTTTTAAAAATGAGAATGTCCTGCAAAAATATTGACTATGGGAGTCACAGAGATATTAAGTATGAAAATATGAGCTATGTGCAGAGATGTTAAATAGTGATAAAATAAGATGAGATGTACTTTATTGATACCAAATTGGGAAATGTTTGCGTTGCCATTGTACAAAAGTAGAAAAATAAACAATTCTTAACTTTAAACATCTCAAAATAGAAATAAAACAGCATTAAAAAGTATAGAAAATATACAAGTTGGCTGTGAAGATACAACAATCTATAAACTCTAACAATAAAACACTATTGAAGGGCCATTGCAATGCCTTAGGTATCAAATTGAAATACAAATGGATCGTTTTGCTTTCTCACTTTTATGTAAATTGAATGTCTTGAAACCCAATTAATGCAATCCCTGCACAGTTCATTGACTCTGCAGGGGCCACTGAAGCAGTATCAGTGGATGCAACATGCAGTTTCTGTCCAACAACGTTACAATTTCTTTAGCATCTTAACACAATGACACATCAGTAATGAGTACACACTCAGGTTTTGCTGCCATGCTGGGCAACATCCCACTATCCTAATAGAAAGGAAGTGTTCTGCAAAGGTCGAAGGAAGTGCCGCTGGGAAGGAATCAAATTACTAGAATTGTGTTTCAAAAGCAGGTTGTGAGACAGCAATGTTTGCAAAGGGAAGATTCTTGTTGGCTTGTGAAATAAAATGCATTTGAGTATTACATTTGTGCTTGCCTCTGTGAGTAACTTGAGTTTATTTCTCATTTAAATAATTGTTTTAATGTATTCTCTTGGAGTATATTTTTAGAGTCTGAGTCTTATTTTCATCCTCTGTCTGGCTCCAAAGAAAATGACAAAGTTGAATCTGTAATCTGCGTGAAATGAAGTGTATTTACAGCTAACTACTGCTGTCTTCGCCCTCCTGTGGCTTTCCTCCAGTCTCAATTCCAATATGCTGCTTCAACTTCTGCATGGATATGAACACAGCAATTCATCAAGCTATTTTTTATTGAATTCCCATTTCCATTTGACCTCAGGCTCACAGTAAGCAAGGCAGAAAATGAAACTGTGGCAGAGGAGACGGTGGAGAAGCCGTCAGTTATTGTATCTCGCTCTGAATGATACGCCTGTCACTCTGACCGTGTCAATCACTGCACCGAGAAACTGTATTCGTGTTGGTGATGTAAGATTGCTTTGATTGAAATGGGAACATTGTAATTCCCAAGATACGTTCTGGTGTGCAGAAAGACTGTGTGTTCCAATACCCATACTATAGTGTTAAGTATGTTACTGTAGAAAAATAAGTAGTATATCCCAATATGAGGAATACAGCATGTAACACATATTAGAATGTCCTCCTGCATCCAGTCACATTTTGAATTATGAACAACATTATTAACCTTGTAAATGCAGGTGCAGTATAAAACGTTTTTAAAAGCATTTTAAATTAGTATTTTGAAATGCGGGAATAGCAGCTCTTTGAGGCTTAACTATGAGCTAAATGCTAATGTAGTGATTTTATTGTCTACCTGGTGTATTTGAGTCCACTTTTAGCTTTAATTTGGTCCCCCCCCCAACTCTTAAAGGGGACCTATTATGCAAAATCCACTTTTTCCTGTCTTTTATACATCAACATGTGGAAGTTTTCTGGAAGTTTCAGGAAAAAAGATTCTCTCACTTTTTGTCCTGATCCATTTACTGTATATAAAAACCTGTCTGAAAATGAGCTGATCAGATTTTGGCCACTTTATGACGTCATGACGATTTGTTGGATTGTGTAACCATTAGCCAATCACCAACCAAGGTAACCCCCCCCCACCTTATCACCTGAATCTCCTCCTAGAGCACCATTGTGTTCTTTTTAACCAAATATCTCTCAGAGGGGCGTGGGGAGGGGCTCCTTATTTTCATCTAAAGTAACAGACAGAGAATCAGCACTTTTGAAACAGGGCTGAAACAGAGGGGATTATGGGATGCTGCAATGATCTGTTTGGTGTTTGGAGCCAAACACTTCAGAGACATGTTTTGTATATATCTGAGACCTGTAATATATTGATGAAAAACAGTATAATAGGGGACCTTTAAGGGATATATCTGCTAGCTTTGGTACATGGGCTGTCTTAGCTAAGCTACATGTTCCTCTAACTTTTCCTGTAGCACCACCATGATGTTTACTGAATTATCTCGATAAAGACTTAACGAAATGTACTCACACTTAAGAATGGACTCATGAGGACTTGAAATAACTTAAGTGTTCTCCGGACTTTACATATCGTGGAATTATGATGTTTAAATTGTTCGCCCTATTTGGTTTCATCCTTTGAATAATAACCAAATACTTGCAAAACCTTTGACATATACTAATCAACTTCAGCTGTACTTTGTGTTAAGCGTTAAATTGCAAATGTTAGCATGCTAGCACGCTAATCAAAGATAGTGAACATGGTACCCAAAACCTGTTTAACCTCACCATGTTAGCATTGTTATTGTGACTATGTTAGCATGCTGACATTAGCATTTAGATCAAAGCACTACCGAACAACCTCACAGAGTTAGCATCCCGTAAGCTTTTTGTTTTGTTGTTGGTCAATTGTTGGGTTATAAAAAGGACCAAATAAAAACCTACATTTATTCTAACGCTTGTTTCTTCTGCCTATGTCTGAATAGGATCATATGCAGTTATGGCATGACCAGTCCCGCCGTTACCACACAGAGCTGCTGGATTTTAAAAAGCTAACCGCTGAAGCCATGGATGGGCTGAGGAACGATCACGGCACCATTTTGGAGGATCTGACAGGAGCTGGAGTCCGAGTAGACCGGGTGGAACGAGAGATGGACTTCGTAGAAACCCAGACTTCCCCTCGGGCCTGTGCGAATAAAGCAGACAAGGTGGTGGAGCAGGAAGCCTGGGGGCTGCAGGAGAGTAGAGAGGAGGAGGGGGAAGACTGGGAGGAGCTGCAGTCCAGAGTCTCTGGTGAGCGGCAGGGAAGTACATGCTCACTTCAGACAAGCGTTCTCTGCAGGGCGGCTGCGTTTGATGTTTCATTTTCATTCATGACGGAGCCCCGGCACAGTTAGAACCTTAAGGAATATACACAGGTTGTTTGTTCTATGCTTAATTTTAGCATTGCACATCACACCATGATCAAAACCACCCCTTGTGCAGAGAAAGTGTCTTGGAAAAGCCTCTGGAAAACGAGAAACAAACACAGTGCTGTTACAAGTCATTTAACGGAGGGCTTGGAGTCATGTTTTCCAGCAGACATATGGCTTGATGCAACTCATTTATTTCTGCAGAGCTACTCCCCTGCCTTGCGCTGTTTCGGGCACAGCATTCGTCTTCATAATCTCCTGAACCCGAGGCGTGCTGCCATGAACAGTGCTGAGATATAACTGCTGCAATGACTCATTTACTCAGAATAATACAGGGACTTAAAACCCCTTTTGTGAAATTGTGGAACCCCACTTTTAAATCGATGAAACACATCAGACTTTATATCTGAAGAGTACACTGAATGGGCACATTAAGCAAAAGATCCATATTTTTCAAATGGATCCAAAAGCTAAATCCCTGAGGAAGGTTCATAAGATTTCTTTGGTACCATTAAAACACTCAAGTGAGAACAAATATTGATTTCTTTATTAGTCACGCTGCCTTACTAAGACAATCGATTACACATCAATTCAAGAATTATTTATTATTAACATGCTCTGCCCTCAATTATAATGCCGATCATGCCCTACTTATTAAAAGAGCTTTCTCTCATCTAGATGTTTAAATACAAAGTGGATGATGCAGAGAAATGGCTGCTGTATGAGTTTCTCTGTGCAAAATCTCCGCAGACAGGAAGCTGCCCCGAGGTCAGCTGCTCGACTCTCCGAGCTCATGTTCGCTCTGCACACAGTGAGCCATTGTAAAAGTGACCCAAAATGAACCTCACCGCATTGTAGGAACCCATTTTAGATTTGTGAGCACAATGCTAATTTAGCTCCAGGACACATAATGGGGGGCATCCTCTCGAGAACATCTTCATGTGTGCTTCACTCATGTTTCCTCTCATTATTTGTCAAATTTCCCCCTGACTGCTTCGGATTTGTCTTAATTTGGAGAGCCGGATATTGACTGCTGCAGGCTGTTTGATGTTTTCTAAATGTTACGTTGCACAAATACACATTTCAGCGGAGATGTGGCACTTGGCGGAAAACTGCTAATGCAGGGTGTCCGCGGGGTCTTAAAAAGTATTGAAAGTTGATAAATCAATTTAGCTATTAAAAAGTATTAAAAAGTATGAAACTGTATTTTCCAAGGTATATCATTTTGTAGCTTGTTTTCAATAAGTATATAAATTGTCCAAAGAGGTTGTATTCTACAGTCTGCCTGAATGTAATCATTGCGTAGGTGTGTAGTGTGATTCTGTGTAGTTTATTTATGGCATCCCGTTGGATTTGACGTCATCTGAACAGGACATCGCACGCTCACTGCTTGATAGCGCGCGAAGGTCCGTTTACCCCGTTTGTTAAACAACATCGTTATGGGGAAATGCAAGTCTGCGTCCAACTGGTTGGAAGATAAGGAGGAAGGACAATCAATACTGAATATAGTCAATGTGAGGTAAAGTGTGTCGCCAATGTAACCGGTTAGAACTCAAAGTGGCGATGAGGTCTTAAAATGTATGGAAAGGGTCTTAAAAAAGGTCGTAAAAGGTCTTACTTCAGGATTCCTGCATATACCCTGTAATGGAACTAATTGTGCCAGCTGGGAAATACAATTAAAAAAAATCTGAATTAAATTATTATAATCACGTTAATGTCACACCTGTGAAACATTTTTAATTAGGATTGTGTAGTTTTCATTGTAGATAGACGTGTAATCTGAGGAGCAGCATCTGGTGCTGTCTAAAGTTATTTCCTCTTAAGAAGCTTTAAAGCCTGTAATGTTTCTATAATATAAAAATAGTCATGAATGTATAAACACCATCTATTATTAACCTGTTAAGCCCCGAGCCTGTTTTTCAGGTTTCAGGCTCGAAAATGACATGCCCAAAACAAATGACTACAACTTCACTTCTAAAAGGGTTATATGAATAATTTCTTTTATCAAAGCAAGGTTACATCTGTGAGTTGGATGTAGAAGTGTCAGAATCAATATAGATTTTTCTCAGTCAGAGTAAATTCAGATGGAACATAGTAAAAAAAGGTAAATTCTTACCTCCGCCTAAAGAAAAAACATTACTTATAGTGAAAACCACCCTTGGATGATGGGTTAGTAGACTAAAAGCTTTAGGAATCCAAACTATAACATATAATAAGTACCCTGTATCGCCGAGGGGGGCTTTGGGGCTTAACAGGTTAAAGACTGTATATAAGAAGTTGACATAGTCACTGTGGCGTCCCCGATTGGTTTGTCGACTCTCACCATCGTGTTGGTGCCATATTGGTTTTTAGCTGTTGCAATGTTGGGCTTTTGGGAATTTCAGATGAATTTAGCTACTGTTTGTTTGTTCCTATGAATTAATTTTCTGCAGCAACAAAAAACATTATAAATTGGCCTTGGCAGGGAAGGCTCATGGGTATTGCAGCACATTGATGCCAAAAGGACGGATGAAACATAATTTCTCAAACCATACCACATGGGATTGTTATTAATCAAGGAGAGTCAAGTGTATAATGCACGGCCCAACAGTGGGAATTATGTCCCATATCACCTATTTCTCCAAAAGCCTGTTATTTCAAAACAAATGCTCTGAAAATACCCACTCTCTCTCGTACAAACAAACAAAGAAAATACATGGCTGACTATTATTCAGAATCAAGGCTACATTTCGACTACGGCGTAGGGTTAACACGCCCTACTTTGCTTTTTTGGTTAGTACCTGTTGATTGCATTGGTTAGGTTTAAGGATAAGGAGTTAGATTGGTTATGGTGAAGGTAAGAATATCAGGGTAAGCCAATCAAAATGCAGATTAGAGTGGGACAAAAATAATTAGCGATATACGCTTCAGTTTGTTGCAGAAAGAGTGTGTTTTTTGACAATGATCCTTCAGTTTAATGGCCATTTGTTTTCCAGATAATGGACTTTTGGACAAATGGGCTTTCTGTCCTTTTTCTGACTATTGGGTTAACTATTGTAAAGTATCATTAGGGGATATTGTTTAACAAGGAAAGCTTGGCAGGCGAACCACAGTACAGAAACATGACCCCTCTCTTTGTGTTTCCTCCCACGGCAGACTGTGTGGAGATCATCTCTGGCATCAGATCAGTGAAGATCCTAAAGAGAGTGGGCAGTCCCAAGGGCATGTGGACCAGAGACCCAAGGTCGTCCAAAGTCTACGTCTTCAACGGGACATCGGGAGACACCATCCATCAGTTCGACTCTGTTCGAGATTTCTCCCGCTCCCCTGACGCCATCGGCAGCCGACAGATACGTCTTCCCTCTGATTGGACCAGCCCTGGCAGCGCTGTATATAACGGATATCTGTACTACGTAGAGCAGGAGGAGGATATGGACGTTCAGGTGGTCAAATATGACCTGATGAGCGGCTCGGTGACAGATATCGCCATGTTCCCCTTCGAGAGCCAAGCTAGTGTTTACAGCCTCAACCCTGAGATCGTAGCGGACCTCGCAGCAGACGACGAAGGCCTCTGGCTTCTGTACGCCATGAGTGACAGTGAACCTAACATCAACCTCGCGAAGATGGACCCCACCACGCTCGACATAGAACAGATCTGGGACACCCGGTGCCCACGGGAGAACGCAGAGGCGGCGTTTGTCGTCTGTGGGACCGTCTACGTCGTTTACAACACTCGTGTGGCGAGCCGGTCGAGAATCCAGTGCCTGTTTGACGTCAACGACATGGTGGTCAGCGAGGAGGCTCCCCTTATATACTTCCCCAGGAGATACGGAGCCCACGCCAGTTTGAAATACAACCCCGAGGAGAAGCAGCTCTACGGCTGGGACGACGGCTACCAAATCATTTACAGACTGACCATGAAGAGGAAGCTCCTGGTGTGACGGCGGGGGAGGGGGTGTCGTGTTCTCAAAGGCTACGATAAAGAGAAGCAGCAGTAAATTGAAACACGCTATATGGAAAAAGTCTTTCAGTATAGCCTGCAGACTCTTCATTCACGGTGGATTTATTACACCCTTAACATCACACAATTTCAAGCTAGCCTTTGAACTATTATTTATTAATTTGAGTCTTTCTTCTCGTCTCAAACAAACATGGAAATGCCATTCAGTTTATTAGAGGATGGCAAGTCTTTCTACTCTGTGATGTTTTGTGTCCTCCCCTCAATTAATTTGACCAAATCTCATTTCATTTGAACCCATTCCTGCTTGTTAAGCCACTGGCTATGTTGTCGATTCATGCCGTGTCTTATTTCCACACAATTCACAGCACGCAGCCTGTTTTTGCATAAGTATTTTAATCAAAGAAAAGAAAGTAATATCACAGAACTGATAACACATCACACCCCATGGAAGAAACATAACAAAACACTCTTTTTCTGCTGTTGATTTCCATACTTATTGAAACAAAATAAGGACAATTTGTGGCTGAAAGACTGTCTGCTATTTCATTTTTACTTCATTACACCCTTGGTCACTCATATTAAGAGTCTTGATTGTAATCAAGATGCTCATTTTAGACTTTTGTCTCAACTACCAACTCTTCATGTCGATCCCTAGAACATTTTCTCAAACATTTCTATTATTACAAATACAAAATGTTCAATAAAAAATTGGAAATTCAGTTCTATCATAATAGTTGGATGGGATTACAAGATCATATCAAGAAACACTACAATATGAGGCAAAGCTAGAGGGTCTTGAAACTGAGGCAATTGATTTAACAGGTTTCTACTATGAAAAACACACCACATTCTCAGAGAAATATATGACCATCATAAAGCACATGTTTTTAAAAGAAAAAAATGTTTATTCAACCACTTGTTTCAACACTGAAATAAGATATTAGAAATCTATGAATAATGCCATTAGAGGGGGAATTTCACCTTTAAAACGACTTGAGAGCAAACTGTCACATTAGTGGAGGGGTGTCGATGCTATGATGGATCACGTCAAGCACGGACAATAATGAACCGACTCATTCTCGCTGTAACAAGTGCCAATTAGAGAAATGCCACTGCTCTGTAAACACTGACCTGTCCGCCAATCAGCTGCCCCCGCGCTTTCCTCACTCAAACACACACACACAAACACACACACACACAGCGAGCTACAAAACGGCTCTCTCCGGGTACCCATGAAGGAAATGGCTAAACCAGATCTGTCTGCTGGGTGCATCTGCTCGTGTCTTCATGTCTGGCCCCCCGAGTTTAGCAAACTCTGTGATATATAGCGTGTTCAATGTACAGGAGTTTAAGCAATAGTCTCACTTGTCGTCAGTTTGCTAAACGAGACACCAGACTCGGTCTCAGCCACAGCCAGGAACCCCGTTACAGTACGTTTCAGATTTAAGGTCCTGTCTGCTGCTTATGAGATAATATGGATGCTATTCAGTATATAGTCACCTATTCGGAAAGACATGTTCTGTACAGACCGTACAAAATGCAATCTGTATCACACCGACTCCGTGGCTTAACGTTTCTCACCCTGATTGTACTGATGCTATCTGTGCTTACCAATAACAGCAATACAGAACAACTACTAGGAGGTAAACTGGAGGACTAAAATATACCCAATGATTGTGTTATGAGGATATAAATCTATCCATGATGCAATCTTTTTAATTTAAAGCAATAGATGTATTTCCGTTACAATACTACAATCTGACTCAAACTATAGTTATTGTAAAGTATGGTGGCTGACAAGGGCAAACACGTTACAATGGCCAAAAACACGCTCCAGTTACAGAAACATGCAAGAAGCTAAAAGAATTACGGAAACGGGGACACTAAAAAGTGACGCACACAGCTGGGACCAGAGCACTTGTTGACCTTCGGGGATTATAAAGTTGGTCAACTGTCACTGATGGTGGAGTTAGTCTGTTTCATAATCTCAGGTGTTTTGTCATAATATCATTTGAAATGACTAGATTAGCTACATTAGCTAGCTAGTTGCAGATCTGCAATAATATCGGAAGGGCTAATCCGATCACATTGTTAAAATTTGCTGATAAAATGTACATTTAAGGTTATTTTCCAACAACGGTCACAGTTGGCTAACTTCATAATCGCCAAATATCAAAAAACGCTCCGGTCCCAGCTACTGTATGAGCGTCACTTTTTAGTGTCTCTGTTTCTGTTTTGTTTTGAGCTTCTTGCAGCATTTTGTTGGTTGCAGCGCTAAGTTAATGCGCATGTTTGTTAAGTTGGTGAATGCTTTCTTAATGTTGTGCATGTGTTGGTGAAGATGTTTCTTCATTTGCATGTGTTTTGGCACTTATGTGTCTTTTTATTTGCATCGCTTTTGAAAATGCAGCACGTTTTTCCTTATTGAAGTGTTTTGAGCCGTTGTAAGATGGTTGCCCGTCATATTAAAGAGAACAAATAATATCTAGGGATTTATTAAAGGAATAAACTGGTGCAGCCACCTGATATGACAGCGGTGCTGCAGTAATCTTTCCTAAATCAGATCAAATATCTTCAAAAATAATCTATTTACCACATGCTGCAGATCAAGCATCTGGATGTCGAATTCAAACACACGTTCTCCTTGAACAACAGTATGATTAATGGCAGGAAATACATCAAGAAAGTTGCATGTTTCTAAGTTCAAAAGACGAATATGTTCACAATTTGTTATGTTTTCTCAATCATCACAACCAACAAAGCTACATATATTCAAATGTTATTTTTAAATACGCTTTACGTATATTTATATCTTCTCTGGTTTTGCTGCTTAGAATAACAAAACATACATACAGGAAACGGCGGACGGCTGTACATGAAAATATACACAATCACCAAAACCTGTTCAGAAAAAAAGAACAGGAGGAGACGAAGAAGTGCTTTTGAACAGTGAGTGTCTGAAGGAACACATGAGCGTTTGAGTTTTCATCTGGAAGAAGAAGAAGGTGAGATCGCTCAAAAGCAAACATCGAACAGAGAAGAAGGTAAGGGAGTGTAAAGTGTGCTCACTTCCTGTTTACAGAAACCTCCATCAACAAAAATCTGTGTTTCAGTTTACCTTTTTATTTAATTTTTGGGTTTTTAGTGTGTTAATGAAGCTAGTTGTGCCTTTGAGAGGTAATTTAGACCTGCGTTTTGTTTCTAAAATTGAAAAAAGATTGAAAAAGTTGTTTCAGAATTGAAATAGGTCATAACACTGCAGCCAATTTGACATAAGGTAAAGATTATCCAGTCATTTCTTATTTTTTAGATACATCTTCTTGACTAATGAAAACACACAAAATGTGCACATTTAGAATATTTTAGGTGAAGCCTGATCCCATCTTTCCTAAACGACTGCGGATCAGGAAATTGCTTATGTCATTATTGAAACTGGAAGAACTCAACAGGGGATTTTTGTGATTAGCGTCAGTTGAAAAAATCCAGTTTTTGGTAAATTTTTTATAGTTTTTTTTGGTATTCAGTGTCTGAATGTAGTTATTTGTGCCTTTATCAGGTCATTTAAACCTGCTTTTTGCTTAGAAAAACAATGATAATCAGAATAGAAATCAGTTATATAACACTGCAGCCAATTTGTGTGCCAATTTGCTGTTGTGTGAGGGAAAAAAATCCAGTTATTCTTTTGTTACATACAACTTCTCGTCTTTTCTGCTAATGAAAACACACTAAATTTGCAAATTGAGAATATTTTAGTTGCAGCCTGATCCCATCTCTCCCTAACGAACTACGGATCAGGAAATTGCTTATGTCATTATTGAAACTGGAAGAACTCAGCAGGGGCTTTGAAATTACTGTCAGTTTTGCTATTCACAAACCATAACGATGAATGGAGCTTAATGGTTTTTACATCTAATAGTGCCAAAAATGCTACAGTCATCTATATGCTATGCAGCACTGTGAATTCAATGAGAGACGAATGGTTCGGAAATTGCTTCAGATCCGGTTTGAAGTCTCTTTTTCTACCGTGTCCTGAAACTGCTCTCGTGGAGCAATATCCGATCTCTGACTTCTCTATCCAAGAGTCTCTGCACCACATAACTGAATCTTCAGCGCCTGGAGAGTCTCCGTGTGAGGACACCGAGATTTGTTCACCTCAGCTCAGATATGAAATGTCTGCAGACCGGATGTCCAGCCATTGAGGGGGAACTCATCACAACACCCACATTTCAAACCCCTTAAAGACTGCGCTTCACACAACTATCTTACCCGATATCAGTTCTCGGGAGGGTTCTATACTTGAGGGAGGGAGGGACAGTGAGACAGGGAGAGAGAGGGAGAGACAGTGGGGTTGTGTTTCTCCTCCATCAGACAGACAGGAAGTGGATCAGCAGGAGGGAGGAAACCCCCTTCTGGGTCACAGGTGGCTCTGCTCAGGGGCTAGCAGGGGGCCGGGGGGAGGGGCAGGAGCCTTGGCTGTCGAAGCTGGCTGTCCTCGCCTTCCACTGCAGGACACACAGACACAAGGAAGTGATTCATAACACACATGCTGCTTATTTTTATTTTTTTACACAGCACTGTCACTCTCAGGTCACTCTCAGCACAGGGTACAACCTGTATAAAGGTGGCATTGTTCCAGGAGTATAGAAGAAGGGTTTCAATTAGATTGACCAATTTGGGGAGGTACAGTAGAAACACAAAAAGAGACTGAAAGCAGTTAATCAATTAACTTAGACTCAATATTTAATATGATCTCACCACAGACACAATATCAACATCTCTGTCTTTAAGAACTTTAGACAAAAGCAACAACAAAAATATAGGCAGATGCTATTTGCACCCGGGGTGAATATAGCCACATTGGCTATTTATACCCCTTTCTTACTGCTATCTATATAAAGCTTCATAACATAAACAATACATATGTACAGAAATAAAATAGATGGCAGGGAAAAATTTGTTTTTCAAAATACATATATGTAAAAATACTTACAAAAAAAACAATACTATAAAATATAAGAACAATGTTGATTGATAATGCTGAGCCATAGTTATAAAATACAAATAAAATAAGCCTACGAAGTAAGTAACTATTGATTTATTTTGTCACTTCTCTTCATGCTTAACTTGTATTTTTTGGGAACTTACTGTTTTTTTTTTAAACTTAATTGATTTCCCATAATGCTTTGAGGGATGTAAACAGGAACGTAGCCTAAATCAGTGAGCTATGGTTGGGCCACGTTTTCTTCTGGCATACTGTAGGTATTTCTTAACATTGTGGTAAATTGGTACCATCTAAAGTATGCCGAATAACTTATGAGTTACTGTTCTCAGTTAGCTCATTCATATACAGACAACTATCACTGGACTACTTTAATACTGAAGAAAACTTAAAAATGCGATGATTTTAAGGCAGCTTCCGCATTCATGGAGAGCGTCTTTTTCCTATGATTTCAACGCAGATTAATGGACGTTTACTCGCCAAGGACATCAGATATATTGACATTCAGAAAGGGTAAGTCATTATCACTTTAATAAAAGGGGATTTATGTCTGTGTGTTTAGGCTTGACTGAGTTATGAGGTGGAGAAAGTCTGGGTTTTGACGCAAATTGCCTCGTTGAGCTGTTCATCAGCCATTGCTGCTGATTGACTATATTTGCGTTGCTTCTTGTTTCACCATCTGGGCCCTCAAAAGTCCCTCAAAGTTTTATGAAAACATCCACCGATTTCTTATCCTAAATAATTCAATATTTAAAGTGACGCAGGCTATTTGTCTTGGTTAGGTTAGGGGCTCACAAACAATATCAAAACATACAACATGAAAAACTGACATAAAATAACATTAAATCACAAACAATTTTGAAAAAGGTAGTGAAAGTCTATTTGGCCATGTTTGAAATGGCTATTGATGGGAATTATTATTATTTATTTATGAATGGTGTATTTGAAGGACAGATGCAGTTTATACAGGCTCTACCTCTACCTACTGTTGCTGTCTTGATCTGATCATTTGATGGTCTATCATGGCTAGGTCTCACATGTTGAAGTAGTTTTTATCTCAATGTGACTACTAGTTCAACAAATGTGGTTATATATAAATAGACAACTTTGAAACAGCTATCCAATAGAGGTGGGAAGTAACTAAGTACATTTACTCAAGTACTGTACTTAAGTACAATTTTTAAATCGTGCACTTTTACTCCACTACATTTATTTAATACCTTTAGTTACTTTATAGATTTGGATTAATGATGTGAAACATAATCAACACCTAAATCAGACTTTAGTTCCACCTGGAGTCAATCAATCAATCAATGTTTATTTATATAGCCCAATATCACAAATGTTACATTTGTCTCAGTGGACTTCACAGTTTGTACAGAATATCAGTATGACAATACGACACCCTCTGTCCTTAGACCCTCACATCGTAGAAGGATGTGAGGAGTAAATTCAAAAGCTACCCTGCAGTATACAAAGTCATTAAAACTAGCTGCACCTTTACCAGCTTTGATAAACACATTAACTTGAGTAACATTTTGAATGCAGGACTTTTACTGTAACAGAGTATTCCTACACTCTTGTACTTCTTCTTTTACTCAAGTACAAGATCTGAGTACTTCTCCCACCTCTGCTATCCGATGAAAGCCCCATAGGATTGACATTGGATGTTAGTTTACGCTACCTGTCTCTAGACACATTAGATGTCAAATAAGACATGTTTCATATAATGACAACATACAGATCACTCCTTTAACAAACAGACCCCAGACCGACCTCTTTCTCAGACTTCTTGGACTCCAGCAGGGGGTGCCAGTGTGCAATGGGCTTCCGTGGATACGCCAGCATCTCGTTCCAGTGGTCCCTTCCAAGACCCTCAGCATGGCATCCAAGCCTCATCACACCAATGATCTCATTATGACCTACCCTGTGGGGCACACACACACATATGACTGCATGAACACATCAGACTTAATGTGACAAGACATACCATACATCAACATGTTTTTTTTTATTATTGCAAGAAGGACATTTGAAATGAAATGAGACTCAAGTCTGCATATGGATGTCCGAGTGATTGATTCAGTAAAAATATGCTGCAGATTCTATCTGTGCAACTAGAATTTCATTATTTCAGGAAGAAAATGTTTGCTCTTTGAAGATCTCTCCACTATTATTAGCACAACTTGATGTAATCTTACAGATCAGACATGAGAGAAAACACAAGAGGCTAGGTTTCTAAATATTGCCGCTTCTGTCTATACTACACACAGGAGACAAAACAACAACATCCTGACCTTTAACATGCATGTTCTCATTCTGTCAGCTGTCTGCCCTGCAACCCCTCCACCCATATCCTGTTATAGCTTCACATACCGTAAAGGTAGCGTTGTACACTATTCCTCTAAATACCTGGAATTTGACTGACTCCAATATATATATTGAAAGAAATTAATAATAATTTAAAAACAGTATTATAGATCCCCTTCAGACATAATAATAATAATAATGATAAATATACTACTACTACTACTACTACTACCACCACTACCACTACCACTACCACTACCACCACTACCACTACCACTACCACTACCACTACCACTACCACTACCACTACCACTACTACTACTACTACTACTACTACTACTACTACTACTACTACTACCACTACTACTACCACTACCACTACTACTACTACCACTACTACTACTACTACTACTACTACTACTACTACCACTACTACTACCACTACTACTACCACTACTACTACCACTACCACCACTACTACTACTACTACCACTACTACTACCACTACCACTACCACTACCACTACTACTACTACCACTACTACTACTACCACTACTACTACCACTACTACTACTACTACCACTACTACTACCACTACCACTACCACTACTACTACCACTACTACTACCACTACCACTACCACTACCACTACTACTACTACTACTACTACCACTACTACTACCACTACTACTACCACTACTACTACCACTACCACTACCACTACCACTACTACTACTACCAATACTACTACTACCACTACTACTACCACTACCACTACCACTACTACTACTACTACTACTACTACTACTACCACCACTACCACTACCACTACCACTACCACTACCACTACTACTACTACTACTACTACTAATAATAATAAAAGTAATAATGATAATGATAATAATAGGAAAATAATAAAAAATGAAAAAAGCTTTTAATAAAACACCCCAGAAATTCCATAAAATTCCTTGAAAAATCCCAAAATAAATCAAATGTTTTTCTTTGTGGTTGTAAAAAAGCAACTTCTTTCAGAAAAGTCCATTCCCAGTGTGTGTGCACTGTAGATTTCAAATGTCACACCTGTGTAAGTTGCACATTGGTCCATGACCTGGCTCTAAACTAGTTTTGATGCACCAAAAATCATCTCTTATGTATACACGTCTTAAAAATCAGATTTAAGGTGAGCACAGAGAAGACTTTTCTGCAGGTGAAACATGGAGGGGGGTTCATTCTTTAACTTGTTATTTATTGTCCTGTCCTGTTGTTGTTTGTGGTACGTACAAGTCGTAGTCCATGACGGAGATGTGCAGGCTGACGTGGTCCATGCTGTCCGGCGGGATGTCAAAGATGATGGCCTCGTTGTAGGTGGGATTCAGAGTGTTCTTCTTTATGCTCGTCTTCTTCTTTTTCAAACGCCTCCCGTCACATATGAGCGACACTTTGACGTAGGGATCTAAAGGCAAGGTGTGAAAGAGAGGAAGGAGGACAGAACATAAGTGACTTCATATAAACAGGAACTGCTAAAAGATACATATCATTTCCAAGTTATCCATTTCTTATTTATTTTTTTAAACTGCGATAATTAGAATGAAAGTCAGGCTTATTGGAGTTTGGGGGTATGGGATCCATTGATCAAACTTTATTTATATAGCACTTGTCATACACAAAAGCTAACACAAATATCAGACAGAACACACGACTGAATAAAACAAGAATAAATACAGTTCAATTGAAAGCCAAATGAACAGGGTGGGTCTTTAGTGAACGCTTTCTTCTCCCCTCAGGTTTTATCAATCGATGATATTGTATTTATACAGCCCAATATCACAAATAACACATTTGTCTCAGCATACAACTCCCTCTGTCCTTAGACCCTTTCAGTGAACAAGGGAAATCCCCAAGACACTCAATTAATAGGGAAAACATTTAAGAAATCTCCGGAGTAGCTATTCAGTGTGTCAAAGCTTTGTGTCTTTACATATTTATGTTACACTTGCATCTGGGGGCAGGCTGTCGTGGTCCATAATAATAATAAAAAGACGCCTCGCCATGGCTCTTTGTATTAAAAGGGCACTATAATGCCCATTTTCAGGTATTCTGTGCCTCTACTGTGACATGTTTTCATGCTTTGATGTTCAAAAAGAAATTCCCCCTGGAGGCAACACAGGGATTTGAGCCTTTTCAGACCATTTACATGCACTAAAACTTATATAACACGCTACAGAAAAGAGAAAACCCAAACAGCATAATAGGGCCTCTTTTTTTTAAAAGGAAATCGGATACAGATCACATTTCCTCGCCCAGAGTGTTTGTTTGTTTTTTTAAAAGCAACCCTGGAGGACCTGGCTGTCGGAAATGTGCATGAAAGTGCATGAGTCAACAGCTTGTGTAACCACAGAGGATGATAGGACATAGATAGCTTAAACAGCATGACTGAGAAAGCTTCCTGATGAATGCTGTGTTCAATCTTCAGCCGTCAGGAGCAGATCGCAGCGTATGATCCATTATGCTGTGTTTCAGTCAGATGTAAGCTGCCCTCAATCTATAAACAACAAACAAGAGCGCTTGCTTTGCCGAGTAATGTGCTCAAAGGCACATTTTGATAGCTATTGTTTTACGATGCACATATTGAAACAATGGCAGGCAGCTAAACCCCTTAAAACTCAGGGGAATTAAAATGGGACTCTCATTACAACGTCATCATATAGGGAGGTAATAATGCTATATTCACCTAAACCTTGGCATTTAATGCAAACAAAATGTCAACAAATGATATCTGTATTAGATGGAAAAGTGGAATGGGAAAGCAAAAACAAGCACACCGCCTGCGACTATTTGCTGACAATGTCTTAATATCACAAGTGTTGAATATTAATATCTGCTGAAACAAACAGAAGGCAGCTGCAGAGACAACTCTCCACTGTTTGTTCACTGAATATGACATCTTCTGGCACATCACATGTCCAGTGAAATAGATTTCTGCAGCGATGGCATATTTCTGTAGGCCAAACCTCGACAAAAAGCCAAATGCAATTGGATTTTTGTTATTGCAAAGAACATTGCAGGAAAAAAGGGCAAATCCCCTGAACCCTGGCATTTCATGCGAAGTAAATATCACTTATTGCAATGTTAATCAGTATTGGAGGTAAAAAGTGGAATGGAGAAACAATCTAGCATGCCCATAACTATTTGCTGACAATATGTTGATATCACGAAGTGTTGAATATTAATATCTGCTGAAACAAACAGCTGCAGAGACAACGCTGTTTGTTCACTTAATATGACATGTTCTAGTGCCTAACAAGTAAAAAGCAGTGCTGCAGCGATGACCTTTTTGCTAAACCAGAAGTTAGCATTGCGGTGGTTCCCTCGATAAAACCTGATTCAATTTGCCATTTGATATTGGATTATTGAAGGAAATTGAAGGACAAAAAGGGCAAATTCACCTGAACCCTGGCATTTAATGTCAAGTAAATGTCACATATTTATCAGTATCAAAGGGAAAATAAGAATGGAGGAACGATAGTCTACTACAATAAAGAGACCGCCAGCATCTTCTTGCTGACTATGTGTTTTTCACAAGTGTTGAAAATGTATAACTACTGAAATAAACAGGAAGCCGCTGCAGAGATGACTCCGATGTCCTAAAATAGAGGGCAGGGATGTATCGTTTTTGATTCCACTCCTGAAGTGAGCAATATTAGCTCCATCGTCTAAAAGCCAAATCTAATTTTCCATGGATTTTGGATTATTGTAGTTCAGAAAAAAAGACAGAAATTGAAAAAAACGAACTTTCTTTACCCTGGCATTTGATGTAAAGTAAACAGCACATATTAGAAGTGATGTCAGTAATGGAGGGAAAAGTGGAACAGAGAAAAGCGGTCTAACACAATTAACTGATTGCCTGCAACTATTTGCTGACAATGTCTTAATTTTGCAGTTGTTGAATATTAATAAGTGCTGAATGAACAGAACGCAGCCGGAGAGGCAACTCCCCGCTGTTTACTTAACATGACATGTTTGCAATTGGATATTCAAAGACACACACACACACACACACACACACACACACACACACACACACACACACACAACAATACAGCTTTAGCACTTCAAAGCCGCCAGACCCAGGTACTGTACAGTCAAATAATAAACATACAACAAATCACACACCATAAAACAAGTACAAGTAAAAACAATAGACAATTTAAAAGCAACAATCTAAAAGATGTCAATACGCTAAGGAGAGCGTGGCTTTTAAGATTTATTTAAAAACAGACAGTGTGGAGACCTGTCTGTTTTGCAGATCATTCCACAGTGTGGGAGCCGCTACAGCAAAAGAACACACCCACACACACACACACACACACACACACACACACACACACACACACACACACACACACCTGAGTATCCGGTGATGTCCATGGCCTTCAGGTTCCTGCACTTGATGACAGTGAGGGTGAGTCTGCCTGCAGTGGGAAGGTAGCAGAGGGAGAACATGACCTCCCCAAGGTCAACACTTTCCTGTGGAGAAAAGTGCACACAAGCAAAAAAGAAATCTCTTTTAGTTCCACATTTATATTCAACACTTTAAACCAGAGTCATGAACAGGTGTCTTCTTTCCCTCAAGGTCTGATTCTGGGATGATTACACTTCATTTTGTCTGATATAGTCAAAGGTCAGTGAAGCAGAAAGTGAATACCAGTGATTGAAAGAGCTCTCAGATCTTTAGTAAAAGTAGTAAGACGACCTTGTAGAAATACCTGCATTCAAAAAGTCTACTTAAGTAAAAATGGTCAGATATTAGAAGTAACATAAACAGTACTTTAAGCGCCAAAAGTAAAACTAATCGGTATGCAAACACCCATTTTAAAATCGTATATATTATATGACTGGATTATAATGAGTGTTGCATTAATGTGTTAATCACTTTCATGTTGCAGCTGGAGAAAGTGGAGCTTATTTTAATTACTGTATACACCACTTGCTAGTTTGAAGAGCCATAGTGTGTATCATAATTTACTAGCTTCAATTTGGGATTTATGATCTTAATAAAGTACAGGTACCTCAAAATGATGCACGTGATTAATGTAGAACTTATTTACTTTACGAAAGGATCAATACTATATTTGTTTATAGTCTGCTTTTTGTTTTTCAGTCAGGGAAGACTAACACAAAAATAACTAAATGTGATATTCTCCTGTTATTCCTCTATCATTAAATTGCAAAAACATTCAGCTTTATGATGGCCTCTTGTTGCCAGAGGAAATAAAATGTAAAATGTTCCTCACAGTAAACCAGCTAATTAGGGCAAAGACTACACCCAGAAGTGTATACAAAGGGTAATATGATGCAAACTAATTCAACTTTGCTATTTTGCATTTTTGGCTTGAAAAAGAGCCGCATTGTGATTCTGTTGTTTGGTTTCTACAGCTCAGCCTCAGGAGGGCTGCGGGTGTATTGTGAGTGTTGTTGAAAGATAAATGGATAACATGTGTTGTAGAGCACAATGCAGCTGAGGAAACATGTTGTTTGTTGTCAGTTTGTAACACAGGACAATACAAATAACTTTTTAAAGGAATAGTTTGACATGAAAAACGTTGTTTAAAGGGGCCCTATTATGCCAATTCTCTGTCTGGAACCAGAGCCCAGTCTGCTCTGATTGGTTATCTGACCAGCTCTGTTGTGATTGGTCAACTGCCCTAATTTCCGTACAATGTGTTTGAGTGCTAGCCAATAGAAGCCATATTGATGTCACTATGTTATGGAAGTAAACAAAGGAGTCCAATCGAGGCATTTCAGGCAGGGGTAAGTGTGTGAGAGAGAAACTTTGCGATTGTATCCTTTGCAGACCATTTACATGCACACAAACCTACTGTATATAACACACTACAGGAAAGGGAAAACCCCAAAAGGCATAATAGGGCCTATTTTTAAAGGCACAATTAGTAAGACAATGAAAAACAGCTTATAAGCTAAAAAAAAAGTATCCCTTTTTAAATCGTCAATCCATGAGCCACAAGAAATGTGTGGTGTGTTGACATCTGCAGAGACTCCTTCCCTCCCTTTTATCATTTCGCTTTTTTGGGGACATTTTGTGGTGTCAGCCTTTGTGAAAACACAAATATAGCGAGGTAAGAAGCTGAGCAGGTAAAGCTGATTTCTAAAAAGAATTGAATCTAAGGTTGGCCTACCCCCTTTTGACTTGCACCGTTAACCTTGTTGGGGAAAATGTGGAAGCTTTGATATACCCTTAAAATTGCATTAATTGTTTCTTTACCTATGGAAATGTCGAGCTTAGCTTAGCTTAGCATAAAGAGTAAAAGCATGGTGTGAAATGACTGGCTTGGTTCGGTTTAAAGTGCAATACACCAGCACATCTAAAGGCCACAGCAGCAGGGGATTCTGCATCATTTGATTTGATTAAAGGGTTTTATTGAAGAGGGGAAATGCTGTCTGAGCTAACAAGCTTTCTGTCATTAGCTCAGAGGGTAATGAGCTAATAAGGTCACTCAGTTCATTCACAAGAAGTACCATATTTGTAACAAAAAGCATGTCTCATAACTCTCTGATAACAATTCCTCCTTTGTGCAGTTATTCTTATTTCAACAGAGGAGGTTTTAATTAAAGCAGATGGTGGAACACACTTTTAAGTTTCTGTTTGAGTACAGATTAAACAGACGAGATTTAATTTGATAAACAGTGACTTTTAGCAGTGCTGACATCACATTTTGTTAATCCTTTTTGGAGTCAAAAGTAACGTCAGCTTTTTTTTCTTGGATTCATGTCAATATCTGTTTTGTTTTTTTTACTGCACATATTTTATGTTATTCCATTCTATTTCAATGTAAATACTGCTTTATTTTATTTTTTATTTTACTATATATTTTACTATTGTTATGTTCTTAAAATAGTTCTCTATCTGTGTTTCCAGAATTTTGTTTTACTTGTATGTATGCACCACGACACCAAGTCAAATTCCTCGTACGTGTCAACCTACCTGGTAATAAACCCGTAGTTATGTTATTCAAAGACAAAAGGAGTTGAGGGAATATGTCAGAAAAGTTTTCTCTCCTCAGCCGGTGTAATGGGGCGTGCGAGCATTTGATTGACCACAGCTATCAGAGAGACAGTCTAACACCACAGGGGACGTGTCACGGTGAGACAGCATGTCGTTAGTGGTATTTAAGAGTAAGGGCCGAACCAGCATTTAAATGGGCCGGATTGACATTTGCAGGTGTGTTTACATGCTGGTTATTGTGAGATGCAGCAGAGCGGCTAATTAGCTGTCAAGCTTGCACACTGGTGTTAGCGCTGCACTTTTCTCCGGTGAATGTTTGTTTGGTCGCTCGTTCAACAATCATGGACGAGTCTTCATGTTGGTAAGTAAGGTACTTTTTTTTAGCAGAAAAGTGGGTTGTTGATCAAAGTGTGTGGCGTTTGTGTTGAGCGGATGCTGCATGGTAAGTGTGAAAAGTATTTTTTGCGTATTAAAGAACGCTGATTTTACTGCTTTATTAAACATTTGACTGTCTGTATTGATATTAAGGGGTTAAATGACACCAAATCCACAATTCGGGCAGACAAATCGAGGAATTTATTACCCTTTTTTCTTCAATGACAGAACAGAACATGACTTAGACTATTTGACTTCTGTTGCACTTAAGTTTTGGAAGGAGTCATGCCAGAACAGTTGAAGGTGCCACATGTGTCCCCACATACATTAAAGCTAATTAAGTCGGAAAACTGGGCTCCACTTCAAGTCCTTGCAGTTATTTGGCTGTCAGTATCTCCTTGAGACAATTTAGGTTAGTTTGGAAGTCATGGCCGACCTCCCGATCAAGTCTTTTGCCAACTTTCATTATTTCCATTGCAGTTTTAGAGTAAAAAAACAAATCATATATTCTGATAATGTTTCCGGTTAATCATCATCAGGAGAGCAAATTAAATAACATTTCAGAGAGGATATCTAATTCAGTTCTTCACCACAACCAAATATCTGACTTTATCAATTACTGAATGAGTCTTGGAAAAAATATTTTCTAAGACAATTCTACTCCCGAGATCTCGTGTGTTGGAAGGTTTTCTATACTTTAAATCCATTTTGAGGAAAAGTACAACCTGCCTAATTAACTATAAGCTTTTACACTCCTGTTGTGGTCCCTACTGAGCTATTGAGAGCCCTTTTTCTCTCTCTATAAACCATTTTAAGATCACATAATCACTTAAACCCACTGTTGGCCTCCTCCAACACGTCTGTCCGAGCGCTGCAGTGTTAACGTCCTTTCACACACACCACATGCGATTTGACTTTCTCTGCCGAGGAAGTGAGGGATTTAGTTTGAAGGGTGTGAAGGTTCAGCCATAATGTGTGAGCACAGCAGAAATGTCAAGTGTTGTAAAAGCATGAAGTGACACTTTGATTGTCCTTGTAGAAACACAAGCTGTTTTGGTGCCAGTCAGTGTAATCTGCACGGCATTAATCATACAAAGTCAGTCTGTCCATCGGCTGTCCGCTCAGTCAGACACTTTGGACCAGATTGAAACATCCATATCTGTAATTATATATCATAAAATGACATTTTGTACAGGATGAACAAGCTGATTTTGACCCCTTTAATATTACTCTAGCACCTCACATGTCCAGTGAAATGTAGTGATGCAGGGATGACATGTTTTTGTATGACAGCTATCAGTCTCACTCTTTCCCCTCGACAAAAAGCTAAGGCAATATTTCATTGGATTTTGGATTATTGGAGAAAATAAGTTCTGTGGCAAACTAAAATGTTATCGTACTGTCAAGTTTTGATCAGCAAAAAAATCATGAACTCTACTTTTAGGAATAAGGAAGCATAAATGCAATCGCAAGAGCCAAAAAGCTAACAATATAAAATACTGTGTAAATACAAGATTCTCATTTTAGCACACACATACAAAATGGCCTCAATCAGACCCTAAGGACATATACTTGATGAATTACTTGGAGATATACTTGAAAAAATGTTTTTATTTATGAATTGATCGAAAAGGACCTCGCATCAGCTTCAGCTATAGTTTTTGCTATGTGCTAATTAGCCAATGTTAGCATGCTAAAACGCTAAACTAAGACATTGCTCAATTTAAGTGTTAACGGAAATGTGAAGGCAGTAGGCTATATGGATTGTCACAACATTTTGTACAGATATTATCGTTCCCCATCAGGATAATCTTTCATAACTTCTAGTAGAGCTGTGCGATTATGGCAAAAATCATAATCACGATTATTTTGGTCAATGATTGATATCACGATTATTAAATACGATTATTCATTGACTTTGTTTTAAAGTTCAATAAATGGACGTTTTCAAATTAAAATAATAATTTGAACAGTATCTGTTTAACTGTTGATTACCCTGAACGTATAATTCAACTGAAAAACCAATAAATTAAATAAATGATACATTTATATTTACAGTTAAATAAATAATATCAAAATAATAAATACCAATAAAAAAGATCAACAAATATTTTGGAGCGCACTTCAACAAGCTACTAAACATATATAAATGAGATGAAATATGTTGCAGTGCACTGTCACAACCTAGCAAAGCAAAATAATCGTTTTTTTTTATGTTGTTTTTGTAATTGTGGCAGGCCAAAATCGTAATTGCGATTAAAAAAACGATTAATTGCACAGCCCTAACTTCTAGTATCTTTTATTAACTTCTGAAACTGGACTCCGTGTTTAGCGCTAGCTTGCAAATATTAGCAGCTAAGATGGAACATGTTATCTTGTTGATTAAAACAGTTAGTGTCTAGTTGGCTCTACACTCTAGGTAAAAAGATCCGCTTAGTAAGTCATTAACTGTACATTTCATTCATTGCCTTATTTATTATACTCTATGGAGGCCTTTTTTACAAAGAATGATTGTGTCTTGGTTTTCCTGCTCTTGATAAATTGTCTCCTCCATTCATTCCCCTTATTAGCATGCAAACCTTCCCAAAAGAGTTTGAACACATGAGGGATCTGAAGTCAATAAGTGGGTTTTTCTACACTCCTCCAGATTCTTTATCTATAAGTTGGTGTTATTGATGATTATCGCTCCTTGATCTATGAACTGAGGGAGGCAGCTGGCTCTTTTCTTTCTCTCCTCGTTCGTCTGCTCACTATAGGTTTCCACTCATTAAGAGTTAACAGTGTTTATAAATCGGCGTCTTTATCTTACCCGAGTCATTACACTCCACTTCTTGTTTGTTTTTCGTTTCTGCTGAACCCCACCATCTTTGCCTATCCTAAATCTAATGTGAGCAAGGAATGTTGTCGTAAAAATCGTTAGGGTGGTTCAATAAAGTTTGTGTGCCAAGGAGAGGGCCTTCTGCTTTTCTGCCTCCTGAGCAATAACGTGGAGATTATTGAGCAACCCTTGAGGAAGTTCAAGTTTAACAACTGGAGGTGAGGAAATTCAGGGATGAAAGGGATGAGGAGTGATCAGGGCTCTAAGGTGCTAACATGGTGCCTGGACGAAGAACAATTTGTTCCAGAAAACAGTCTCTGGACATCGTCAACGAGTCACAAAGCCAGCAGGAGAATAATTGTGTTAGAGAGCTGTGAGTCAGAAAAAGGCTTTTATGTTTGAGAACACCTTTGCGTCTCCAGCCAGTCATTTGAATGATTTTAATGAGTGACAATTTCGTTTTTCGATGAGGAAAAAAAAGAACTGTGTCTGATTATTGATAATGCTTTTAATGATAATTCAAATGTAGTAATTGGATTCACATTATAGGGCAGCGTTTTAATCCTCTAAACGTACCCCTTTCCCCCATAAGAAAATGTTAATTAGACACACGAGGAAGGTCTCTAAATCTTACTTTTTTAATTAATTGTTTTTTAATCAGTTTACTATTGTATTTTCCTGATATTTCAATTGCATACATAAAATGCTGCTTACTGACGCGAAGAAAATGATGGTGGAGGAACCCTGAATGCTTTATATACTGTTATGTTTGGCCTACAAGTGGTGAAAAGGTGACGCTATTTTAATAACACTCAGCATTTAAGCCTCTCAAAGTGTAACTCTAAATTTGTTCATGAATGTGCGCAAGGTACAAAAGGCTAGTTGTAGTTGAATGAAGATCTAAGGATGTGGTGGTTAAAAATCTCTCAGCCAGTCACATCTATGGCCGCTTTACTCTGGACAAAAAACAGAAAAAGCAGCTCAACAAATGACATTAGGCTAAGATTGTCACTTTGTTCTTTAGGCCTTCTGGGAGTTGTGTTGATCTGCTGTTGGATTAAGAGCCTGCTCCTCTTTGCTGAGAACTGTCAAGCCGACTGACGAACACTGCTTGTGTTAGCCACTAATGCCAACTCAAGGTAAGCCCAAAAACAATCCACTCTAAGCCAGCCATTTCTTTCCTTAATGTTAGAAAGCGAACAGAACCTAAACATAATTACAGAAACAATTACCAGTCTCTATACACAACCAAACGACTTTGTGCCAGAAACAGACCACTATCTGAGATGTCTTTTCTCTGCTGCACTTAATGTACTTTAAACCTTCAACCGTAACCAAAGTACCACATAGAGAATTTCAATAAGAAAAAATAACTACCTGGCGCAAAACTAGCGCTGCTTGAACTGGTCATTGTGTGACACCAAATAAACCGTTTAGTCTAAAAGTCAGAGAATTAGCACATCAACTTCACTGCGTCTGCTTTTTCTTTTGCCACAACATGTAAAATGCTACTCCACTAATAATAAATCTAGCTCACTACAGTATATCATTAACTTTTGACAGCAGCCATGTGGGAAATCAGGCCAAGGAACTGCTGTAAGACGGACGACCAAAACTTCTGACATGCCAGATATATCCATCTGCTTGTCCAACAGGCCGACATTCAGCCAAAAACACCAGTCCAAAGGCTTGGCTTTACTGTCCCTCCAGTACATTTCCAGTAAGCTATTGACCCCATGGTTAAAACAAATAACTAACATTGATTGTAATTCATATGTGGAATCACCAGTCAGTCATTCGATACTGAATCTATAAGAAAAGAAAGCCAATAGATTCTTACCGTGCTGGCGTATTGGATGTCCCTCCATATGTTCGTTTCCCTGGAGAGGTCTGATGTCTCAAACAAGTTGTCCAGCTCCACCTCGCCGATCATATCGTGCCGTGAAAAGCGGTCAAAGTCAAAGACGCTCATGTGGAGCTTCCTGATCGCCAGCTCGTCGTAAGGCACAGGAAACTGGAAGCTCTCGTTGAATATGGGGTTGAGCATCTTCCGGTGGACGCGAGTCTGGAACTTCTTGCGGTCGGGCAGCAGGTACACCTTCACATAAGGGTCAGACGTCCCACATAAGTCCTTGGCAGGGAGGTCTGACGCCTTGATGATGTTGACTATGAGCGCCTCGTTTTCGTAGTCGTACTTGAGAGAGAAGTTAATCCTGCCACAGTTTTTGCTGCTGCCGTTCTTGGACGAATCCTCCGACTCCGGGGTCTTCTGTTGGTAGAGTTCTGGCTGGATGCGACCGATGCTTGTGGGCCTATCGTCATTGTCCGGCGTGTAGTCGTACCCCAGGTCTAGACTGCCTACCTGCATCTGCCTGGGAAGGTGTCTTTTGAATGAATTGTGCCTGCAGGGGAGAAGGAAAGAGAGTGAATGACAATGTGTTCAATGGCTTTTGAAGAGCAGTGAAGACGAGCAGGGAATATCAAAAAGGGGAGGTTGAATTCAGGAGAGGAAGCTTTTAAATGTACCAAGCTGACTACCTACAGTGTCTCCTTATATCACCTTACTTCTGGTATTCAAAACCCAATAAGCTAAGTAAGTTGTTTCCTGAGTTAAAGGATAATCGCTTGCATTTTTATTGTTTTTACAAATGCATGAAAACAATTATTCGAGGAAGATTGCCTGCTGTTCTCAATCCACTATCAGTCTTATCTGCTTGCAATACCGATTAAGAGTCAGTCTGCTTTGCATTGATACCCCGTTTAGTTTTGTGAGGAATTGTCTGCTGTGTTGTGGTAGGAATGCAAAATACTTGAATTGTGTTTGTGTTATATAAAAAGTTCAAAGTAAATTCAAAATGATGCCCTAAATGTATAAAATAATAACAGCAACAACAACTAAAAAGCCTATGACAGCCCAAAGTGCACCAAATGAGGTCCTGGAGGGGGGGGGGGGGGTGAACGACGGTTTGCTTTGTCAGGACCCTAAAAGGACATGTTTGCTGCTTAAGCCTATTTAAAAATAGATGTGCTTTTTTTAATGCGTTAGTTGCATAATAAGCAGAAAGGACTGATGTGCACTTAATAAAATGGTAAAAAATGTTTGAGTTCTGCTGTTCGTACTTCAGCAAAATGTTTTCCCTTCTTATTGCAATCATTTTAACGAACCATACTTTCCATTACTGCTCTCAGAAATGCCTCTAAGGCAACACAATCTACATTATCTCTAATAAGTTACTGTTGAATCTACATAAAATAGTGCAAACTAAATTGCTTGGATGGACATTTCTTCCCTCATTAGCGCTTCATTAACTGAAGTAGTGCCAAGTCACTTTGAATTTTCAGATTTACATTTTTATTCTTGTTAGGTTAATGAACCTTTTTTTGCCACACGATTCTACTGTATCTCTTAAACGCTGTCCGTGCGTGCAGGCATGCGTGCTCGTATGTATCCCGAAGTATGTTCACACATAATAATGATTGTTGGGAAAATACTGAATGTACTCTTCCAATATCAGAGTAGCACATGATAACAAAGGCCCTACGTAGCTGTGTACGTAACGGGATGTATGATTACCTCGAAGAGCATCAGGACTGTTTTAGGCATATGATAGCTATGTGATTAACATGATGATTCAGCCTCTATGGAGATAGACATATGACAAGCATGATCATTTCTGACGTGGAGCTAATCTGAACTAAACATTGAATACTGCTTTGAACCAGTATACATGTATCTTGTGACTGTGATACTCTTGTATATCAGCATGTGAAGGACACTGTTCAGGAACTAGTTGATGCTCTGTATGTGATGACTACTTCCATTCTTGAGAGGATAATAAATACATGTATCCTGATATTGAAGATCAAGCCGGTGACGAGTGATATTTTTCCTAACAATAACATTAATAATACATTTCATTTTTATAGCACACTTTAAAAACAACGTCATCTCAAGGTGCTTCACAATGCTATAAGGAGAAATTAATAAAACAAATACAATTAAAAGTTATCTAAGGAGCATATTGAATAAAAAATAAATAAAATAAAGGACAGTCCGTCAAATGAGGTGCGTGTTTGTGACTGACCGAGTGGAGGAGGCGGGCTCGGTGGCCTGCCTCTGCATGCGCGTGGTGCGGCGCAGGAAGTGCTCCCTCATGGAGAGCTGCACCTCGGCGGGGATGTCGGGCGACGTGTGGCTGATCTTCACCGCCGCCTCCAGGAAACCCATCGAGCCCATGGGGTCCTTCACCTTCTCTGTCGCCATGGTGACCGGTGACTGCAGGGGGCTGGGCAGCAGGATGGTCGGCTGAAGCGGGCAGATCTCGGGGTCGCAGGTCAGCGTGAGGGTGGGGCTGGAGAGATGGGCCTTCGTCCGCAGAGGCACACGACACAGCTTCCAGGAGACGAATGTAAGAAGGCCCAGAAGAGCCAGGCCGCAGAACAGAAAGACGCCGAGCAGGAGGCCGAATGAAGAGCCTGGTGGGGGGGGGGAGGTGGAGCAGCACACAATATGGAGGGACAGATGGTGATCGCAAGGGAGGAGAGGAGAGAAAGAGAGAAAAAGACAGTCTGTTAGGACAGTGTTTTCAACCTTTTTTGAGCCACGGTACATTTTTTACACAACCAATAAAGTTGACACATTGTATATTAATCCAGCATATATGCGTACAGTATAATGATCATTCTATCATAAGTCTCGCAGTTTGGCTCGTAAGTTCAGTTCGTAACTTTGAAAGCTTTCTCTTTGTGGTTTTTCTCATAAAAGTTACCCGTTTCCAGAGGTGGGAAGTAGTGGAGTGCAAATACTTCGTTACTGCACTTAAGTACATTTCTCTGGTATCAGTACTTTACTCCACGACTTATTTTTCTGACGACTTTTTACTTTGACTTCTTACATTTTGAACACAAATACCTGTACTTTCTACTTCTTACATGTTGAACACTAATACCTGTACTTTCTACTTCTTACATTTTGAACACAAATACCTGTACTTTCTACTTCTTACATTTCCCAAACAGGCTGGTTCCTTTAGTTTGAATGTGTGTTTGGTGGCGTGATCATTATTATTTAGAGTCATTGCGTGCCTATTGATTTGAACACGATCCGTGTATCCATCATTTCCTGGTCTTCTCTAAAGAAGAGGGACCAATGAAAACGTTGTCATGTTGCCGTTGTTCAGCTTGGAAACATTCATTAGCTAACAATGACATTATTGTTCTATTAATATAAAGGGAGGTCAGGTACTCTTTAAAACAGCTGCTAGTTATGGGTACTTTTTACTTAAGTACATCTCAAAGCCCATACTTCTTTACTTTTACTTGAGTGAAGAAGTTTAGTCAGTACAGAGTATTTTTAAACACGAGTATCTGTACTTCTACTTGAGTAAAGGATGTGTGTACTTTTGCCATCTCTGCCCGTTTCTCAGTTTTGTTTACGCAGGCGAACGAAAAAACTCCATGTTCTTGTTTTGAAGTGACGCTGTTTCATTTGGAGAGGACATTTGAGCTTGCTTGGGAACATGGCACTGTTTGATTTAATTTGCATCAACTAATTCATGTTTTTTTGGACCGATTATGTGAAATTGGACACTTTCCCCACGGCACCCCTGGCGATCTCTTACGTGTTTGAAAATGACTGTATTAAGACACGAATCTGGTGCTATATTAGTGTTTTCAGTATAAGGACAGCGAACCATGAGGGACATTCATACATATTAAAGAAACCTCTGAGCTCAGCTGAGGGGAAAAAGGAAAGGATATTAATGTAAACAAAATCAAATATGACTATGCATCTCTCATATACAGCGATGTATTTGGGAGGATCCAACGTCACCATAAAAAAGTAATTTTGCAGTGAAATATTTTTATACCGCCATCCTTGTCAAAATCGAGACATATTGAAGTAATAAGAAATGTACCTCGGGAAGGGGTATTTTGGGTATTTGTTCCTCTACTAATGGTTTTCTGTCATATGAGAGGTAGTAGAAGCAATTATGTTTGACAAATGATTTAAAAAAAATGATTATCTATTTGACTGAGAAAATACATATGGGAATAGAACCATAGGTCTCAGACGCCTGCCTGGTGGATTTTTCGAAACCATGAAACAGATAAAAGAAGCAGGGCATAGTCAAACTAATTTATTTTCCAGCTTTTTGAATTATTCCTGGGGAACAAGCTGCATGCAAAGACCTGGGGACATATCGAGAATGCTGACAAGCTGTGCAGGGATTCACAGCGACCGAAGGGGAAAAGAACTGAAGCTGAAAACGTACAGGACTGTATCTCTGGATTTTGTCTTTGGGGACAAGTGCCAGAGTCGCTCTGTTTTCTCGTTCTAAAGTAATTACATTTCTCCTTCTGATGCTGGGAATGTTTTCCACGCTTTGTGTTTGGTATCAAATTCAATTCTCTACATTTTTGCTGGAGTGTGTCTTTTCCATGTGCCCTGATTGGTTTGATTTAGCTACAATAACTCACGCTGAGGAGCATGTCTGCGTCCTCTTAGAGCAGAGGTGTCAAACTCAAGACCCGTGGCCTGTGACTTCATTTTATGTGGCCCACAAGAGCTCTGAAAGAATATAATATGTTGTTTATACGGTTACAGTACATGCCGATTTACAGAAGCACGTTGCCCATAAACTACATGTCCCACAATGCATCTCAAATGTGACTTTTTTTTCAAAATATGACTTTTTTTTCTCAGAATTTGACTTTCTTTCAAAATGTTACTTTTTTTTCAAAATGTTACTTCTCACTGAAGAGACTTGCAATTATTTGCCCTAGACTTCTGCTTTCAGACGTAGTTAATTATAAAGTTATTACCCTATCCGATAATAATCCAATGAAGAGGCAATAATGTAATATATAATACATTATTTTATATATATTAAATATTTATATATGTATTTTTATAGTCTTGAAGTTAAAACCGGCCCTTTGAGTGCAACCATAATGCTAATGTGGCCCGTGATGAAATTGAGTTTGACACCCCTGTCTTAGAGGGTCCCTGAACTCGTGTCCCCACATAACATTTCAGAGAGAGCAGGGCGAGCTTCAAGGAATTACATTAAATTAGCTATTTTTTAATATTTAGACTCCACCTTTCCACACTTCAGCAAAATGTGAGCATTGACAAGTTCGGAAATCTGCCTTTGGGGTTAAGTTTGAAGAGAATAGATGTGATTTATTATTTATATGGAAAATGAGATGAGAACAGTTGTGGAAAAAGTATCCTTTACTGAAGCAAAAGCATTGGTATAATACTCAAATAAAAGCATTTGCAATCTTACCTTATTAAAAAGTATAAAATAGCAAAGTTCTGCATCAAAGTATGATGTAGCCAAGTACATTTTCTCAAGTCTTGTAGTTAACTTAACATCCTACTTATCTGTAGTTGACCACATCTTCATCAAAACATTTACCAGCATTCCTTCCAAAGAACTCTCACTAAATGAAGTGCCCGCTAAAAAGAATTTATAGCTTGCCAAGCGGTGGACAGGATTAAAATCTGGGGGATTTACGCCTCTGGAAGGATTTCTCAGCTGTCCACAGCTCTGGCCTCTTCATGTCTCTGAGATTTCACACAGCTCCCCACAAAGCTTCCTCTCAACTGGACTGTCGCTCGCAGAGTCTTCATCCGCCGTCACGGCAAATTAAAGGAGATCTTGCGGTGTGGTACTGAAATACGAACACCCGCGGGGACAACCTCTCGCTACAACATGCTTTGACAGGTCAGAGATGTGTATTTGAGAATGTGAATCTGGATTGTTTTAGTTTTTTTCACTGCAGCAGAACCCTTCAAAATCCAGTATTCACAACAAATGTGTTTGACAATATAGATAAACAAAAGACAAAGACAAAACCGTCATTGTCTTACCTAAAGAAGACATATTCTGCGCATATATGTAGTGCCTCGACTGTGACATGTCTCCATGCTTTAATGTTCAGAAAGGTCTTTATTTTTCTCATACTGCCTGTGCTGCAGCACTTCTTTTCACCCTATGTCTGAAACCAGAGCCCAGTCTGCTCTGATTGGTTAGCTGGCCGGCTCTGTTGTGATTCGTCAACAGCTTAGAGATGTCCCGCCCCTTAGCCCATCACGTACAATGTGTTGGAGCGCTAGCCAATAGAGCGCCACAGTGACGCGTCCTAAAACCCGGAAGTAAGTTAGCATTTTACCACTTCTGGTTCCTTCGACAAAAAGCAATGGGATTTCTCCATAGGATTTTGGAAAATATCTGTAAATAAGGTCTGTGTTTGAGACGCATTTAAGAGACGGATCCCGTTTTGTTCTACGACATTAAATACATCAGCAGTGACCCCGCTGGTGATTTCTGAAGAGTTTACGTGTCTGAAAAACGATGGTTGTTACCAAGTGGCTGAATAGGACTACAGAAGTTGAGGACGTTGTACGTCATTACGCCGAACACGTAAACACTCCCTCTAAGTTTGTTTTTCCCCGTGTTCTGCTTGAAAGCAAGTACCTGCCTCCTGCAAACTGTTCAAACAAACGCTTCAACTCGCACCATTTAGAATCTGTATTTTTGAATATGGATCTTAAGCTGGCGTGATGTTGAAGCAGCGACCCTGCTGTAGTTAGTTTATAGCATAACGTTAGCATTTTGCTTCTGGCGACTAGATTTATGATTAGAAAATTATAAAAGTAGGGTAGACATGTGGAGATTATCCGGCTGAACAAAACGTGATCCGTCTCTTAAATGTGTGTCAACCATCAGTACCTTATTTCCAGCTATTTTCCAAAATCCTATGGAGAAATGTCATTGCGTTTTTGTCGAAGGAACCGGAAGAAGTTTACTTCCGGGTTTTAGGACGCGTCACTGTGGCACTCTATGGAGGCACAAGTTTCACAATCTGATCACCGTACATGCATAAATAGCATAATAAGGCCTCTTTAATCATTTGATTATTAAGCTATAACCTTTGGAACCCGATTGATTTGGGTGTTTGAAACCGAAAGTATACAAATGCGGAGACTTAAGCTTTGAGACACTTTGGTTTGGTTTATATTGGCTTGTATTTTGCCGAATGCCAATGCCGAATTAGCAGATCTATTTTGCAATCAACATAAATAAATGCTAGTATCCTACAAAAGAACAATGTTACATTGACTCTAAATATATGTATCATGTCTGTGTGTTCAGAGTTGACTGAGTTATGATTCTGAGGAGGAATGCGACTTTTGTAGTGTGTTGCAAACTGGCTCTAATGATTTTAAAGCAGCCTAAATCGATAGCCTCCATGCTCTGTGTCTCACAGCTTCTGCTGCAGCTTTAAATGCCAAACTTCAGTTGCCATATTCCTTGAATCTTTAAAACATTGGTCTTCAACTGTGTCTTTTTCACCTTTAGTGTCTTTAGTATCTCTGCATGAAAACCTCACAGTGTGAAAAGATCTGCACAAAGTACGTCAAATTGAGATGACGTGTGAGAGTAGACTCGCATAAATGAGTCACA